TATATATATAAAATAGTGTAGCCAGTCAGGTGTGGTGACTCACACCTGTAATCCTAGCACTTTGAGAGGCCGGGTGGAAGGATCACTTGAGGCCAGGAGTTCAAGACTAGCCTGGGCAACATAGTGAGACTCCATCTCTATTAAAATAATAATAATAATGTAGCAAAAGAGAATTCTAGCAAATGGTGGGTGTTACCACTCTTCCAGTTTCAATTACCTTAAGCCAGTGATTCTCAAAGGGTGGTTCCTATGATAACATCCTGAGTACTCTTTCCTAATGCAAAGGTCAGTCTAAACACGTTATCAAATTCTTTTCTGCAAACATTCTCCCTGTGTTCAGATCAAACTTCCAAATTTTGCACATAAGTTCAGAAGACCCACCCTAGGTGCATGGTCACTTTGTTAGGGATACCAAAGAAGTGAGACACCACCAGGTCCCTACATTAGAGTGTTGTGTTGTTGTATCATACTGATTTTAAAAGAAAGGTAAGTGTACATCACAATTTGTCTCAAAACGAGGGATATCCCTAGGGTCTATGGTGTCTATAGAATCATGTTATGTGCCTTCCATTTTCATGGGTTGCTGGGTTTCAATTGCCTATTCACGCTTGTGCAGTCTACCTACTGCGCTCATGCAGTCTGCCAGACTGGAGAAAGACTCTCCCGAGGAGGAAGAATGCTGAACACAATCGGCAACCTGGTTGTGGACACAGTGTCAAGCTGGTTCACTAGATGGCTCATGACTCAAGAGAACCATCAAGGCGAGCATGCTGGGCTGCACGTAGGCTATCCTTACACACAGTTTCCCAAGTCCTCTTGCCCCTTTAAAACCCCTCTGATCAGCCTGAGAAATTGGAAAAGGTCTTCACGACCTTAGCCTGACATCTCTTCGGATTGCCGACTTTATCCAAGATTAAATAAAGCCTTCTTTTCCTTCTGCCAACTCTTGTCTCTCAAGTTTGGCTTTCCTGCAATGAGCAGCTGAACCTGAGTTGGTTCCAGACTTACAGAAGTAGTAACAACTACGATCAGTTGACTTTCTAAAAAAGGAGATTATCTTCCCTAGTGTGAGTGAACTTCATCCAATCAGTTGAAGTCCTTAAGAGCAAAAGCAAGTTTGCAGAGAAGAAATCTTGCCTCCAGGGTACTATTAGCCTGCCCTGCCAAACAGCCAGACTGCCTTGTCCTATGGATTTTGGACATGCCATCCCCCCACAATCAAGTGAGCCAATTCCTGTACATAAACCTCTCTGTGTGTGTGTGTGTGTGTGTGTGTGTGTGTGTGTGTGATTCTCTCTCTTTCTCTCTCTCTCTGTGTGTCTGATTCTCTCGCTCTGTGTGTGTGTGTGTCTGACTCTTTCTCTGTGTGTGTCTGATTCTTTCTGTGTGTGTGTGTGTGTGTGATTCTTTCTCTGTCTCTCTCTGTCTCTCTCTGTCTGATTCTCTCACTCTGTGTGTGTGTCTGACTCTTTCTCTGTGTGCGTGTGTCTGATTCTCTGTGTGTGTATGTGTCTGATTCTTTCTCTCTCTCTCTCTGTCTGTCTCTGTCTGATTCTCTCACTCTGTGTGTGTGTGTGTGTGTGTCTGACTCTCTGTGTGCGTGTGTCTGATTCTCTGTGTGTGTGTGTGTCTGATTCTCTCTCTCTCTCTCTCTCTCTGTCTGATTCTCTCACTCTGTGTGTGTGTGTGTGTGTGTGTGTGTGTGTGAGACTCCTCTGTATGCGTGTGTCTGATTCTTTCTCTCTCTGTCTCTGTCTCTGTTTCTCTCTCTCTCTCTCTCTCTGTGTGTGTGTGTGTGTGTGTGTGTGTCTGATTCTTTCTCTCTTCCTGTCTGTCTGTCTCTTACTTGCTCACTCTCCCCCAGGCTGGAGTGCAGGAGATCCTTCCGTTTCAGCCTTCCAAGTAGCCGGAATTACAGGCGTGCGCTACCACGCCCAGCTAATTTTTTTTTGGTTTATTGTAGAGACAAGGTCTCACCAAATTGCCCAGGCTGGTCTCGAACCCCTGGGCTCAAGCAATTCACTCGCCTCGGCCTCCCAAAGTGCTGGAGTTACAGGCTGAGCCACAGAGCCCAGTCCACTGTCTTTTATTTTTGAAGCGTTGCCTCATTTCTGATTTCTCACCCTTTTTTGTACGACCTGGATTTGTGCTTTAGTTTCTGACAGGTCTTCTTGATTTTTAAATCCTTGTCTTGATACTTATTATAATGTATATACCTTGACTCCAGAATGCTTACCTGGTTCTAGAAGTTGCACTTTCAGATGCTGCTTCTTGGTACTCTTCAAGATGTAACTTCATTCTCTACCAATTTTGTACACCAAGGTACCACTGACTCTGGCTCCATATCTTTATTGAGTGATTCATTACTTCCCACACTACCAGAACTTCTTTCCTCTCTTCTTTCATCCTCATCCCCCATCCCTTTTCAACCAAAAAACACAAAAAACACTAGATGAGGAAATCAGGAGCCCTCTGATAAAGGCTTGCCTCTGTCACTTACAACTTTATTGACTCTGGACATTACATTCTTCATTTGTAAGAATTATTTGAGATTATTAGATTATCATCTCTAAGTCACTAAGTTTTGGTTACTAGAATGAAGAAATAACTTTGTCCATCAGGTCCTGAGATGAGTAAACCTCAGAGTATCCACCTGTGTAAAATACCATAGGGAGAATAAAAACGTTGGCATTGCCTAGATAGCAGTCATATTTTCTGCTATGGCAGTTCTCTTCCACCCTAAAGTTAAATTCTACTGAGTCTCTCAAGTTTTAGAAACTTGAGAGGAGGAAGAAGAAAAAGAAAAAACAGTTTTAGAAACTTGTTATTAACAGCTCACCTGAGTAATAAATATCAGCCAGATCCACATGTCCGTGCAACTTAGACTTTGGAATAGACTGCCTATGTCACCTGGATCTGAACTTATACTTTCTAAGCTAACTGGACCTTGGAAGCCTTCCTATTCTTTTCTCCTTCAACTTCAGAACAGTCTGTACCTGGTTGGTCATGAAAGTGTCAGCTGGGCTCAGTGGCTCAGCCTGTAATCCCGCGCCTTGGGAGGCTGAGGTGAGTGG